ACAGACATTATTGCTTAACTGCTTTGATGCAAGCCAAATTTTATACATTTATTTCAGCTTTGAGCTTAGTAAACCTTTCATTTTTTAGATTATACTAAAGAAGATATTAATCATCATTTATTTGGGAAGTAATATTATATAATTTTCTCCTAGCTGCGGTGCTGAAGCTCCACCCTAAATCAACAGAAAAAGAAATAAAGGAGCACGCAATGCATTACTTGAAGAATGCATATGCAAGGCAGGGGGCCAGGAGATCTGAACACTGAAAATAATAGGTTTCTGGTTCTAACTGTTAGGACAATTAGACAGGGTTTGCAAATAGTGGACAAAAATCGTCTTAACTTCCATTGTAATATTTGTTTTCTTGGAAATATAGAAATTGTACATTTTAAAATGTATATTTGAATCAAAATATGGTTTTGAGTTAGTGTGTTAATGTAATTAGTTTGTGTTTGTCATTACGATACTGTATATTGCCATGTTACTAGAATTTGTAGCTGAAGTTTAAGACTAGTTGTGTTTTTTATGATTATTGCCCATATGTTGATTGTTGATTGATTGTATACAATGTATAATTTGAAATACATATTTTTCAGGTGTGAATGTGTATTTTCAGAATAAATTTCTAAACCAAATCATTGGCTTGATTTACTAGTTTCTACACCTGTAAAACCTATCTTTGATGTATAATAGACCTCTAACCATATACGTATAATAGACCTCTAAAGTTATCCATATAATAGACCTCTAACCATATACGTATAATAGTCCTCTAAAGTTATCTGTATAATAGACCTCTAACCATATACGTATAATAGTCCTCTAAAGTTATCCGGAACTCCAATGGTCTCAAAAATGTAATCATTGTCCTTAATGAAATTGTTGCTAGTATGCCTACAGTATGATCAGCACAGGAAAGCATTAAAACACGCAAGGACATGTGCTTCATGCATGTTTTTAAAACTCCGCTTTATACATTTGTTAAAACTGGTATTTGTGCTGGTGATGCTGTAAAAGCACTTAAATACCTGAAATTACTTTGAGAGTTAAAAAAAGACTACTACTATTTGATTTTCTCAAAAACCTTTATCCTTTGAAATGAAAAAATAGCTAATTTCTGAACACAGGAAATGTAATTGTAATAGGCCTGTTTCCTTGTGGCACAAAATAATTTGCAAGTTTTGATTTTTAACCATTTTAATTGTACAGGAGTGAAATGTGAGACTTTAGTTAAATAGTGTAAATATTACTTTTGACCATCTAATTAATTAAAAATCTTAATATAAAACTGATCTTTAGGTATTGTGACAGGTTTGCAATTTCAGGTCCAGTCTCTTTGTGTTTATATAATGTATGTGCTAAATTCTTTAAATACAAATCTTTGGAAGTCCAAGGTTTCAAATTTTTGTTAGCATATCCTCAGAAATCTTGTACTGACCTAAGCCTCTTAAGATTTTATTTTAGAAAGTGGAAATCTGGCAGATTGTATTGGAACTACTTGTAGAAACACTGTGTACTCCAATTCATGTCTGATTTCTACTTGGGTAGATACTGGTAAAACACAAGAAGAAATTCACATTGAACTGTCCACTTAAGGGTTTTTTATATATTTTAACTGAAACGGCTAAGAAAACAGGATACACACTATCAATTTGATTTGCTAAACCCAGTCTAATTATAGTTGAGAGTGTGTGTTCTGCTTTTTTAAACTTTTTGACTCATTTCATATGAACAGCAAGTTCTTGTGTGCAAGTTTATTTATGTTTATAGGTTGCGTATTGCAGCTAGAGGTGGGTATGTCTAGAGGTGAAGGCGTAGAGGATGGTCATGCAAGTTTTTCATTAAAGATGTATAATAATATTAATAAGAATTGCTTACACTTATATAGCGCATTTCTAGACACTCCACTCAAAGTGTTTTACAGGTAATGGGGTCTGCCCTCCACCACCACCAATGTGCAGCACCCATCTGGATGATGAGACGGAAGCCATAGTGCGCCAGAACACTCACCACACATCAGCTATCAGTGGGGAGGGCAATGAAGTGATGAAGCCAATTTACAGATGGGGATTATTAAGACGCCATGACTGATAAAGGCCAATAGAAAATCTGGCCAGGACGCCGGGGTTACACCCTTACTTATTTTGAGAAACACCCCCGGATTTTTAATGACCACAGAGAGTCAGGACCTCAGTTTAATGTCTCTTCCAAAGATGAGGTTGTTATGTATGCAATTCTATGTATACATTGAGGTGTATAGCTTGAAGTGGAAGGCCGAGGCACCAGAGGTTGTGAGTGATTGTAAGTTGTGTGAGTGTTGTGAATCTGAGGTGCAAGATTGAGGTGCCTGAGGCTGTTGGGTTAGTGCAGTCCCACCCTGGTGGCATAGAGTGGAGTAGCTGAAATCATAACAATAACCCCAAGTTGTTCATGCTAATTATGCAATCCAACTGAAAGAAGAACAATTAAATCAACATGAAAAGACTATGAATATAAACGGGTGTTTTTCTTCTGCGCGATCAACTTAGAGTCTTTGTGTAAGCTGAAAGTTCTTTTTACTTCTTAATTAAACATTTTAAACACTTTAATTTTGTAAATGCAACATGCATTCCGTACAGAGATAAAATCATGTTTTCTACAGGTGTTAAGCAGATTAGCAGGTTGCTGACAAAATAGCGCATCGTCCACTAACCGTAAAGACTGCTCTACAGCTTCTATTTAAAAAAAAACATTTAGAAAAGTTTCATCTATACAAATATCACACACTATTCTCGATTGTTGTTTCTGAATGTCACACTTAGTTCAATATTTTCTTTACATCTATTTAAGAAAATCTGGTGTTAGCATAAACTATTAGTAATCAATAATATTAAAATTCACAATGTAATAATTTATTTGTACTTCTTCCACAATCTTCTAAAAACATTAATTTACAAGAATTTGCTTAAATATACATTGAATCTGACAATCAGAAAATAAATAAAATACAAACTTATAAAGTAAAACAATTAAGGTAAAATATCACTTGAAATTAAGACAAGATACACTTTTTTCTGTGTTTCTTCCTACTCTCTCTCACCCGCTTTGAGTCGGACACAAAATGAAAGGAAGGGAATGTTTCATGCCAGTCAGCGCCTTATCAGCTCACACCAGAGGGAAGGGAAAAAGCTGGTAATGCTGGTCATTTATTTAAGTCTCCATCACTCTGCCCAGTGATATAACTTTTATTATAAACAAGATCTAGTACCTGGTTTACTTTAAAAAAAAAAACTATTCTGAATTAATCAAATTCCAGGTGTGAATTCATAAAGCCAGAATTACATACTATCACAACGTAACACGTGACCATCTACTGTAAAGCTTTCAGTGCTTTGTTTGTGTATATTCAGGTGTATTCTTCACACCTGAAACATTGTTTTCTCTGAAAGTGTTTTCTGCCCTCTTTAGCTGATCTTTTGCAGCCTATGCATGCTTACACAGCTCCCTGTGTGTTCGTGCTTTGAACCATTAGGTGCACTGCTTTGTCCATTACCACTACAAGGACAATACAAGTTTTTAAAAAGAAACGGATGTCAAAATGTTTCTGAAATGTCCACCTGTGATACTTTAGCTAGTTACAAGATTCCATATTCATATAACTATCAAGTGATGTTAAATCACTACAACATTTATCTTTTTACAATAACAGCAAGTGGTGTTCTTACTACAGTACATATTCTTAGAAAAGGAGAAAATGTAATACCTTTTTTTGAAGTACACAATATAAGTTTAATAATGTTAGAACAAGCACGTTAAAACAAGTACCCACTAAGTTGCCAAGTTAAAGACTTTGATGCATAAAATATTTATAAATAATTAAATTATTTATGATGAAGGTGGAAGGTTGTGTACTTTTGTCCAACTGAGCAATCTTGCTTTTATAAAATATACCAACTTTTTAATGTTTAATATTTAGCATTACAATACTGTTATAATACAGTTTAAATTATTAAAAACAGCATACAACTTAAATTCTTATCTCTATTAATATAACTATCAAGTGGTATTAAATAAATACAACTTTGTTGTATAGATGACACTTTGCTCAAATTTATTTTAAAAAAATAAAAATGATTGCAATCTAATCATTTCCACATGTGATGCCATTATGAAGTAAAATATGCTCCTGTTTTGTTTAAAGATAGTATGAAAAATAAATCGAAATGGTGAGAAAGTTATGCTTAACGTTAATTAAGGGACTTAGAAGACAAAGATAATGATTTCTGTTGGTTTTTTTATTTAAAAAGTAAATGATAAATGCAGACACATGTGCTGTTTCTGCACATTTAACCACTATCTTAATGGATGATGTTATTCTATTGTAATGAATTACTACATTAAGACTATGGTCTAGTTACAATTTTCCAATAAGAATAGAAATAATTATATTTGAAAATTAATGCAAGCACATATAAGTAATAAGTAACAATTTCAGTTATATTAAAAGTTTGTGTAACACCTTGTGTGTGTAAAAACCTTACCTAATTAATAAAAATGCCTAATACCACACATATCGCAAACTTTGCAGTTCAAAAAACCAGAATTCATATTGTCAACTTAAACTGTTTCAGCCATGTTTTCAGAATATTGACTATGAAGGAATGTTAGTGTCAAGCACTAAATGAATGGTCATCAACAATTGCTTCCTCAGCTCTAGATTTAACTGGGATCTTTCACTACTAGTCATAAAGGTCTAACAGTGTGAACTGTAACTGTTAATGGACTACAATGTGGAAAAGAGTAGATAATCAAACAGTGCAAGAGTTTTGAAGGGTGAGTTTATATTATATTATTCTCCCCTGTCCAGTTGATTCTTTAAAACACAAAAAGGTCAGAGTTACCATTGCCAATTACCTTACTGCAATTTATAACAGACTGAGAAATAAAAATAGGTGTGTCAACATGGTAAATCCTGGTCATTAGAATGAGTGTTTGGAGCAGGGCATTGTCACATGACTTACCTGGGCAATGCGGGCAGCAGGAGTCCTGTGTTCTGACAGGGTTCTGGCATAGCAGTGGAGGGCACACCTCTGTCTCACAGAGTACTTGCCCACTGTGACATGTGCACTGCGTACAGGAGTCAATGTTCCATGTCTCCCCTTCCACAAAGTATTCTCCACCTGGGGCATGACAGATGGTTGAGTCACTCAGCTCTGGTTTCCGTGAGTTGAAGTCATCTGCAGAAAAGCAATTCAAATTCTGTATTATTGCCCAAAACATGAATGATATATATGAATGAGACACAAAGCAGCTTTTAAGGAATTTTCTACAAGCCAGGATATAACTTTCTTTTTAATGAGCTCAACAATTAACAGTATCTGCTTTTCAATGTAAATCTCTGACTACATTTCCTTTGTAAGACTTTTGTTAAAACAGTACAGAGTTGCGCTCTTATCTGTGATCTCTATATGCCTTTTCTAGTTTTAACATTATAATTCTACTGTTCTACTTTTTAAAATATAGTTTGTTCAAAAATAAAAATAATATTATTTTTATCTTTGACATACGTTTCTAGATAGTTTTTTTAAAATAACTTTTAGAACTATTACTTAAATGTACAATATGAGTCCCCCTCCCCACCACTTCATATGAGTATAATAACACTTTAATTTCTTGGTGATAATTCCCATTTTAATTTTGATATCCACCATGAAGCTAGGATGAAAACCTTTTCAACATTGAATACCTCAATCAAATACCTTTTCATTTTATGGTCTTTTATTTTTTTCACAAGTGACTTTTGTCAAATACACAAAAAATAGCATGCCTTTGTCTCATCTTACTCAGATTCAGGTTTACTATAGGGATATAGTGGTATGAACCACGCCTCCAAAAATACTACTGGAAAACAACCACCTACTAAGGCAACAGTACTGAGCAGCAGCATAAATCTGTCGGCTACATCATTTAGATATAGAACTCATCGAGCTGCCCAATATTGACTTACACACTCTGACATAACTTGCATAACATCTAAGCCATCTAAGCATAACGTCTAACCCATTAGATGTTTTAAGGGACATCTCATTTAAAAAAACAATTGAGGGTAACATATTAACGTACTAGGTTGTGAAAACTGATTCACAGGAAGCCTTGCAAAAGCAACTAGATGAGGTTCATGAATCAATAAACCTCAATCAAAAGTACCCCAAAAAGCAAGATGGGCTAAATGGCCTGTGTTTTGTAATTTTTTTAATGCTTGTATTTAAGCACTCTTTCCTCCACAGCAAAAGCCCTGGAGATGAAAAAGTAAAAATTGAAACAAGATACATATATATTTAAGCTTAGTACAGACACAGAAGAATGATACTGCACAATGTGTTCATTGTTTCTCTCCTAATGTACACCTTTTAAAAAAATCAGTCTTCCAGCATCTTTTGGGATGTTGGCAAGTAAATAAACTGTCACTCTGACACTCAGGTAAATACAGTACCTGTATTATTTATAGCCTTTACATAGATCATATACCCTTTTGTCACATTTTATTCAATTATTTCAGCACAACTTATGTTTTTTTATGTTCTGTTTCTGTTGCTGTCACCAATACACTGACACAGTAAATCGCATTATAGCAATCAGAAATGCATCTTTTCTTATTTAGTATGGATTTCTGTGAAAATATAATCTTTTCAGCCTCCTTTTAGAGGATGTTCTTTAAAAAGTGACATACCAGATAAAACAGAAAAGGGCTTTTCCTTGTATATTGTGAATTGTGGTGATGTAAGATAAGAAAACCAAACATAATGTGGAACACAATTTCAGATTTGGTTCTAAAGCTACAGGAATGTCTTGGGAATGTCAAAGCCCAACTGAAAAAAAAATAGAAATCAAAAGCTCCCTTGATAGACTTAATGGTGTCATTTGCAATCAGGATCAATGCTATATTTAACCTACTGCCTGTGCCTACTGCTTATTTTATGTTACTTATTGTGTTCTCAGCACAAAGAAGAGCATAAGTACTACACAGAGATACAGTACTGTACATTTCTGTTTTTAGTGTCAAAGTTGTTCTTGCAAATAACTTTACATTATAAATGTATCTGTTGAAAGAATGGGGAACAGAAACACTTTCCAGTAAGAGGAAAAATAAAGTACTAAAATCCCATGCATCTTTTTGGGTCTACATTGCAACTATCAATATTTTTGCTATTTAAATGTTGCAAATTTGCTGCCATGATGATAGTGTCATACCTCTCTAATACAATCAGTACTGATTAGAAAAGCATTTCAATATGTAAACACAGGGAGAGTGGTAAAATAGATAATTAAATGCAACAGAAATAATATGCTTAGAAGTACATTATCATGCAATAATTTGTGGGTTTCACTGTATTTAATTCTAAAATTAGATTTTAGGGTGACTGTATTACATTACAATGGGATTCATTGAAATAGGCCAGAGCTTTACATATTCCCTGAAAAGAGAGAGGAATTAATGCATAAATTATTACATTTGACAATTGTTTTACAAGATGAATACAAATGTCTAATATGCATGACAAATAAGATAGGCTAAGTAAGTACTTAGGCTGCAAAGGAACAGGTAAAGGTTCATTCCATGGTGAAAAGAGAAGAAAAGAAACACAATGCTTTTGCTGTGGAGGCAAACGTTGTATATTCGGTGCACACCAAATTTGAACTGTTGGCTTTCCCTTACATCACAGCAGTAAGTGAGAATCAGATGTTAGTTATTTTGCTCAGTGGCATTCCAAAAATAACATAGCAGTAATGGAGGTGATGAACTGATGCACACTTATGGTTTCAATTGAGGGAGAGTGGGAGGCGATGAAAAGACAAATATGTCTTTTCTTATTTGTTGTTTTTTAATTTGCCTACCATACATTCTACAGATTTCACACTGGAAAGCACATGTGTTTTCAAACCAAAACAGAAGCTCATACTTTTATGGATCTTCACCAGGATTACAAATCTACAATATATGCAATACAGTAAAATTAATCTGAAATTTAATATCTTTCTCATTCATATAAATATCCTATCTTGTTCAATTATTTTCTGTACATCTATTTATAACTTATTAAAGGATTTGGCATCCAGGTGCCTAGATTTATGTCTGTTTCATTGCCAAGAGTCTCTAGGTAATTGCATATAACTCATGGTACGACATGTATCACTGCTTTAATATGAAGAACATCACAATCAGTCTCTGTTTGGAAAAAACATTTTTATGTCCAGCATAAAAATGTGTACTGTCTTCTTGAATACCATCCAAAGATTTGAGACCACTGAGTTAATTAACTGGCATGATGGAATGTTAAAACACACCTTGAAATGTTAACTTTTATTTCACTGCAAAACTGTAAAAACTTTATGAATCTTTACACCATCAGTAATTTAAATATGACACATCCTGCCTGAACTCACACGCGATTGCGAAATAGAGTTAATAATAATTTTTATTATTATTAATTTTATTGAATTTCAGACTTTTGTAACTGTTTGTGCAATAGCTATTAGCTAATGTAATTGAGAGTCACTGTTTATCACCCAATATTGCAAATCATCCACGTGTGTTGTACTAGTGAAGTGTTTGGGTGTACAATATTGCTATTGTACACACGTTCAGTCTTTAAAATTAAAAATAAGTGCAGCTGAAAGATTTTATTATAAATCAAATACATATTTTATGTTATTGAAAACAGGAAATTTATCAAATATTTTTTTCTTAAAACAAGGGTAATCAAGGTGTGTTAAAATTACACAAAACTGTATAATACAAATAATTCAGGTTAAATACTTCACTCAAAACAAGAAAGGCCTTGTTTAATATGGAAACAAATGTTATTCTTAAAATATATATTTATTAGACGAATTTAAAAACTAATCTGTTTAACAATAATCTGTTTTTAAGCTCTTAAAAGGTGTGGTCATATATAAATTTTACCTTGTATTGATCCATCTTACCTGGACAGGAAGGACAGCACTGTCGAGGCCGGATAATAGGATAGCTACAGGCAGGCACAGGGCAGGTGATGAGGGCACACATCTCCCGGCTATTGTGGCAGTAACATTCTCGGCAACCATCATGCCAGCTTTCGCTATTCTCATGCCGCCTGCCATCCATTGAAAGACACGAGCCAGCTTTTACCGGGGAAGACACTGATGGATGTAATTCTGCAAAGAGACATAAGAAAGCAAACACAGGTCTGAGTTAGATTCAAGGCACTGCTCTTCCCAAAAAATGCATTTTTTAATCATCAAGAAAGCATATGGGGCCCTAATAATAATCATTTTTAAGGTTAATGATACATTATAAGAATTATATCACATTTATATGTCACATACTGTAATTGAGGAAAAGTTTAACCTTTAATATATGGTTTACTTTGTTTTTTTTATTTTTTGCCTTTGCTTGTAATGGCTCGATTCCATTTAAGGAAGGAGTTGATAAGCTCCATCTGTCCAGTGTTAATGAACCAAAAACAACATCACAAACTTTCCAGGAAGTGACAAGAACAGGTTTCTTGAAATTGTATGTATCTTCATAAATCCTGGACTAGTTTTACATTATGAATGGTTTAGCAGTTTTAAACTTGATTTTGCATGTAAACTAACAGCTCTGGACTCAGTAACAAAGAATAATATAATTATATTTTCTTTATAAAAAAAAAAGCTTCTGGGACTCAGCATGAGTTTTATTTCTTGTATACTTACTATTCTAGTTTGAAAAATACATCCTCTGATGCACCTGTACACATCATCAGTGATGTTAGGTGGGGTCATCGGGTGTTTTGGACTTTCAAAATCACATATCCTCGCCCAGATGACCCAACCAAGGTTGATCAAGCCAGGAGGCATTGTCACCCAAAGATCACTCCTTTTTTTCCATAGCCATCTTGAAGCTCTTTCTGTAGCCTCTGCTGTTTGATAGCCTTCCTCTTCTTCACATCTGTTATACCCAAAAAACTGTAGTACAGCAATACAATGTTGCTATGATGATGTCAGGGAACTTAAGCTGCTTCTCTAGGTCAAGTTTCAGCTGCCAATTTCTTGTTATTGCCAGGAGACCCACTGATATTTTTGGCTGCGGTTGTGACTGCTTATAATGCAATGGCCCAATTTGCTGACGTTTACAGCAGTTGATATAACTTCTAATAGTCCCTGCTAAGGCTTTAAGCACCTGGTCATGGCACCATCAATAGTGGCCTTCACCAAGGGCTTTTGGGCAATAGCTGAGCATGTGCTCCAGTGTTCCTCATCCTTGGCACAATGGGCATGCTGGTGAAATACCTACTGACTTTGAATCATATTGTATGATACTGTATTTAAAAGCAACTAAACACATTTGCTCCCCTCCCAAAAAAAGTAATTTTATCTCGGGATCAAAAAAAGCACAAATGGTGCACATTTTTAATACATATTGTCATACTGTTACTCACTTTTAAAAGAAACTCAAACTCTGTTAATAGGTAAGGTTGTTATTTCTTGTGACTGTTGCAGGACTCAGAGTGCTTCGGTGAATTCAATGAATTTTTTGCTATGAGGAAACTGGTTCCTGTGAGGTATGTGACTCGTCACATTCAGTAACTGATTGCACGTCCTTTAACAGAAATTATTTAAATTATTTCCCAAAGCTGCATCAATTTTTTAAATAAATTTAGACCATACTTCTTTACATATCTTTTTTAATATGGTGACATTTAAGGACTGTGTATTAGGGTCCTCTGCTGGTCTGTTCCCACTCCCACAATGCCTGTGGCCTCATCTCTGATAAATTAACTTATAAAGACTGTCAAAAGCAATGGTCAGCATAACAGATTAAATATGTGTTGCGTATACAGCTGGGCATAAGCAAAGCTTCTCCCCGTGGCTGCCATATCTTCCATGGCACAAGGTAATCGAACAGTCTGAAAATTGAAAAGTTTGGTTCCACCAGCAAGAGAACTACAGATGCAGCCATTCAAAATGCACGGTACAAACCCGTACCGCGGGCATCTACGCATGCGCCACCACACCCTACCGCGGTACGTGATTGGCTGGCCAAAATGACCGACAGGGGCACTTGTTGGTCGGTCGTGGAAAGATTTAATCATTTAATCTCTTTACTGTGCATGTTTTAATCTGCTTAGTACTGAATATTTATATGGAATTTGACCATTAAAGGGAAATTTTAGTAGCTGAGCATAAAAAGAAAAGGAGCATAACGCATCTAAAGGTCATATACGATATTAATTTAGGAACATAAACATATTATGTAAACTTTAGAAAAAATATACACCAGTATTCCATTTCTCCCTAAACATTTTAAGCATCAAAGTCTTTCATGTGGTTATTTCGGAAAGGTTTTTACGTGCTCCTTGCTTCTTCTGACCATGTCACTGTACATTTAATAGCATACTTTCAGAATTTGATTAATAGGGAAAATAATATGGAATCCCATATCTAAATAAATTAATAACGGTATAACTATATTCATGTACTGTTGCACAAACAGTAATATAAGACTTTCCATTGAGAGGTACTTATCATATGAGTGCCTTGGTGGCATGATTGCTTAAGTGACTGACTTGTAATCCTGAGGTTGAGTGTTCAAACCCAGCTGTTGCCATTTGTTTTCTTTTAACAAATAAAAATTTCTTTGAAAAACTAAAATAGCTAATATTATTGGCATTATATTGACATTTTTTATATTTCTAAATATCACAACATGTCCATACTGTATGTACACAGTGGTAGGGTGCAAATTCACATGATCCCTATTAATAAAGGGTATTAAGGGTATTAAGATCCCTTTAGATCTCCCTTCAGATTTAAAAGGTTATTCATAATATCTTCAGTGTCGCATCTTCCCAGTTTAGCTGATCTTTTGCCGCCTACGCATGCTTACACAGCTCCCTGGGTAAACTATCATACTTGACTGAGAAAGCTTTAGAGAACTTAACATTTTTATTATCAACAAATTGTAAATACGACATTTACATTGGCGTTATTAATTTTTCACTTGAGTGTATGGAGGAGTGTCAGCTGTCAATGAGAGCAGACAGCCCCCTCTTAGACTGGGCAACTGATTTTTTTTTTATTTAAAAAAATAAAAATATAGATATAATGATACATTTACTGCAATACAATACTGCTATCTTTCGGCTGTGAATCCTTCTTCACGTGTGAGTGTGAAATGCTTGGAGTTTGTAATGTAGGGCGCTCTGGATGGGTTAAACTTTAATGCAGGAAAAATATATTTCCCAGAAGCTACAGCATACTGATTCTTATGGAATGTATTTTCTTTCTTCTTTTTTTCAGCATGGTATAAACCTATTATTTGATTCTTATGGAAGCCTGTTTCCACCAGGGAGAAAAAAAAAACACACACACACTTTTTCATTGACAAAAAGTAACGCCACACTCTCTTGTTTAAAGCACTGTAGTGTGCTCTCTGAAGGCACCAGTTCTGTAGGGTTTGGGCATTTACTGGGACAATTATTAATTGTAGCAGTAAATCACAAAATGATTCTTTGATGGCCTTAGAATCCAACCATGCTATATAACTCAAACAACGCGCACACACACAGGTACTAATACACGAGGATACATTTATTAATACATAGAATATGCATATAAACCTAACCGATCTTATCGAGAGGGTTATCAGAATACAAAAGATATATATTCAATCAGTTACCAAGAGTTACACATATCAAGAGGACATACGTTCAGTATATCATTCATTTAGACCGTTTCGTAAATGCGCTTGGTTATAACTTCTACATTAGATACTCAAAACAAGTACATAACTCTTAGGAATTAAATTGATATCAACTGGTGGGGATAACAATTGAATTCTCGAGCTGTAATGCATTGAAGTTGAATACTCATCCAATCTCTGGGGATTCAGATCTCCTGTGGGCACAAAGAAACAGTTGCAGGCTGTTGCTGTCCAATCCGCACTCTCTGGCTCGGTGCCAGGCTGTGCTGTGCGGCTTGTAACGGTGCGCTGCTGATGCTCACTGAAGACCGGCTAGTTAGTGTTGGCTTTAACTAGCAAAGTTTGTGCACAGGAGAAAAGATGACTGTGGGTCCCAGCAAGTCAGGAAGAGGACCGGTTCGTTCCTGATGAAGCGCTCGTTCTGAATAGTGATATAGCTCTGGTTCTGACCTGTTCACGAGGCCTGCTGCTGGTGCTAACCTCGGGTGGATCCTCTGGTTACTCTCTGGCAACCTCCGCTCTAGACTCTTAGAACAAAGGAAAGTTCTGGCACTCGGACACTCTGGCCGTTCCGTGGTTGTCCGGGCTGAGTCTCAGGATGGTCAGGAGGCGTGCTGCAAGAATGTCCTGCCCTTGGGAGCTTTCTGCTTCTGGGTCGTCCTGCCCTGGAATTCTCCTTTGAATTCTCTTTAGAATAGTCCACGGAATTCTCCACTAGAATTCTCCACTTCAGGCTCTCTGTGTTGCCTGTTTTTACCTGGAGGAACTTCAGCTTGTTGATTGGCTGAAAGTTCCATGGGCATCAGAGTCCCACGTGGGTTACTCAGCCCTACCAGTCCCTGATTGGTTGATCAAGGTGAGATATGAGTCACTTACTCCTGACACTTAGGAATGCAGTCCAGATGTCCATCTGGCACTCCCTAGACAGATAGGCGCCAATGGATGACCATTGATCATGATAGCCAGGCTTAGCTAAGTGCATCCCCATTTGGGAGCTGTCTGTGGCTGCACCACAGAGATGAACAGAGAGATGGGGTCTCATTTGGGAAAGCTCAGAACACTTAATTCTTTCTTATTAATAAGCCTCGCCGCTACAGCACCATGTCTCTTCCCGTTAAAAGGAGGAGACACTTTACACTTTTACTCTTCAGTTCACAGAGAAGTTTCACCAGAGCCTCTTCTCTGATTTCTCAAAACTACTGTAAGCAAAAAAAAGTTTTTTTTTTGGGGGGGGGGGCAGTATTTCTTGCGTTGTGAACACAGCTGTCCCCCCGGGTTCCAGTTAGTGCGTAATTACGCATCAATGGAAAAAGAGAATTGGCTCACTGATAGTTTTATGTGGGGGGCTGTGAACATTTTGTCGTGGTCTTTAAAATGCATTTCGTTTGAAGGCTTTCTGTGTTTCCTTTCCAAAGATATAGACAGAAGAATATTCGAGCGTGGTCATAAATTGGCTTAAAAACGACATAGT